CTCCCTCATGGTGACCTGTGGCCAATTCATGGTGGCCCCTCCATCATGGCTATGTGGCCAGCTCTTGGTGGCCCATGGCCAGCTCATGGTGGCCCTCCCTCATGGTGACCTGCGGCCCCTCCCTCATGGCAGTCTGTGGCCAACTCATGGTGGCCCATGACCCAACTCGGTGGCCACTTCTTGGCAGCCCACCTCCACGGTGGTCACCACTTGGCAGCCCACACCCAAATTGTGGCCACTAACTCATGGTTGCCCATCTGGGTTGGTTGCCCACCCCCAACTCATGGTGGCCACTTCCTGATTGCCCACCCCCAACTTGGCAGCCCACACGCAAATCATGGCCACCAGCTCATGGTTGCCCACCCCCAACTCATGGTCACAAACCCTTGTTGTCCAACTCATGGTGGCCACCTCATGGTTGCCCACCCCCAACTCATGGTCACAAACTCTTGTTGTCCAACTCATGGTGGCCACCTCATGGTTGCCCACCCCCAGCTCATGGTGGCCACCACTTGGCAGCCCGCACCCTAATCGTGGCCACCAGCTCCTGGCCACCACTTGATTGCCCGCCCCCAATTAATGGTTGCCCCCTCTTGGTTGCCCACCCCCAACTCCATGATGGCCACTTCTTGGTTGCCCATTCCCAACGTTGCAGCCCACACCCAAATCATGGCCACCAACTCATGGCTGCCCCCTATTCTTAGTTGCCCGCCCCCTATTCTTAGTCGCCCACCCCCAACTCTATGATGGCCACTTCTTGGTTGCCCATTCCCAACATTGCAGCCAACACCCAAATCATGGCCACCAACTCTTGGTTGCCCACCCCCTATTCTTGGTTGCCCACACCCAACTCCATGATGGCCACTTCTTGGTTGCCCATTCCCAACGTTGCAGCCCACACCCAAATCGTGGCCACCAACTCATGGTTGCCCCCTCTTGGTTGCCCACCCCCAAGTCATGGCTGTCCCCTCTTGGTTGCCCACCCCCTATTCTTGGTTGCCCACCCCCTATTCTTAGTTGCCCATCCCCTGCTCCATGATGGCCACTTCTTGGTTGCCCATTCCCAACATTGCAGCCCAGACCAAAATCATGGCCACCAACTCATGGTTGCCCGCCCCCTATTCTTGGTTGCCCACCCCCAACTCCTGCTGCCCTCCCCCCTCCCCGCTTCCCGCCCCCCTGCAGGACTGGGGCTGCTGGGGGTCTCACCTGAACCGGCAGCCGAAGCTCCGCGGGATGCGGCACCAACCACCGCCAGCAGCGTCGGCGCAGCTCTACGGGATGAGGCTGAAGGCCAACCTGGGCGCGGCCCTACAGGTGTGGGGCTGTAGGGTGGGTGCAGCCCTACAGGTGTGGGGCTGTGGGGTGGGCGCAGCCCTACAGGTGTGGGGCTGTGGGGTGGGCGCAGCCCTGCAGGTTTGGGGCTGTGGGGTGAGCGCGGCCCTATAGATGTAGGGCTCTTGGGTGGACGAGGCCCTACAGGTGTGGGGCTGTGGGGTGGGTGCAGCCCTCTAGATGTGGGGCTGTGGGGTGGGTGCAGCCCTATAGGTGTGGGGCTGTGGGGTGAGCACGGCCCTATAGATGTGGGGCTGTGGGGTGAATGTAGCCCTGTGGATTTGTGGCTGTGGGGTGAGTGCAGCC